CCAAACATACGTGCTTATAGTCGAATTGAGCAACTCGACGAGATAAATCCAACAAGCCTAAGATCACCAAATTCTGACATCACTAAGACATTCAAGTGTCCATCAAACGATCCATGATCAAGGGATTCAACATCAGCCGTCCATCCAACCACTCCCCATTTACACTTGATCTCTCACCTATTTATGGGTCATGCCACTCCAAAAATTTATAAATAGACTTCTAATTTCTCTTGAAAAGGGACCCCAAGAAAGAAGAGCAGAAGAGAAGAAAAAGAAGAAGAGAAGGAATAAGCTCTTCCTCTACCACCGCCTGACGTCGTTGCTCCACCGGACCACCACATGAGGCCCTCACCCTCGTCGGACAACCTCCTGAGGCCCTCACCTTCGCCGGACCACCACCTGAGACCCTCACCCTCACCGGACCACCACATGAGGCCCTCACCCTCGCCTGACCACCACTGAGGCCCTCACCCTCGTCGGACCACCACCTGAGGCCCTCACCTTCGTCGGACCACCACTTGAGGCCGGACCACCACTTGAGGCCCTCACTTGCGCTGGACCACCATCTAAGGGTCTGAACTCCGCCAGACCATCAACTTACACCAGAACTCTTCCAAGTTACTGTCTAACTACTAACTGATGCACCAACTTCCAAGTGACGTCATATTTAACACTATAATTCAATCATACGGTTGACATTTGTAATCTGATGGCCCTCTAGGACGAGTCAGCACACTCTGCTCAACTCAAATTCTAGTGAAATCTTTTCAACTAGGCTAGACACCGTGGTTTTTTTCCCTTTCCAAGTTTTTCCACATAAAAAATCTTATGTTCTCTGTGTGTGAGATGGATATCGGTGCTAAGACGTAGAATTACAACTCTATCGCCACGTATATTCTAGCCCGTAACAAATACTAAGAAAACTAACTCTTACAAAAAAAATCATAATTCTATGTTGAAAATTTTGAATATTAACACATGAATTTGATGTTGAAGTGAATCTAAATAATTTTTTTTTAATTATCAATTAAATTACTTTACACTCTCACACTATGAATTCTAAAGCTCTCAAATTATGTGTGTGTGTGAATTAATTATTAAATTTTTTCAAATTCAAATTTATCTATTGGGGTTTGGTCTAGGTTTAGGTCAGTTGTTTCACAAAGGCATCTCAACAATGTAAATCCCTATATATAAATGTTATAGGTTGTTGTATTGAGGAACCCAATTGATGGAATTAAATCAATAAAGCTCCATTCATGTATCTATTCTTCCCTCTCTCCCTTCACCCGCCTCTCTCTCTCATCCATGAATCCTCTTCCTCATTTCAAGAATTATTAATTAGTGGTATCAGAGCATGCTGGAGGAGCAAGTCTCTTCTAATCAAAAAGATGTTGTTGGTCTGTCGGTAATGATCACGTGTAAGTAGTGAGCGAGGAAGAGGTTGGTGTCAGGCTTACGTATGGTATGTGCGATCGAACGTAAAAGGGCTAATTTCATTCACGTAAGGTGGAGGAAAGAGGAGGCGCAACTTTGGTTATTGGCTTGTTCGCGTTAGGCGGAGTCAAAAGGCATGGGTGGAAGCCAGTGTGGGAGGCGGAGTCGGGATTGGGTTTCATGAGCTTGCAAGAGGTGGAATATAAGGCAATGTAGGAGGTATGGAGTGAGTTCGCCGTGCGTGGGAGGTGGTACGGAGGCCGTAGAGTGGGAAATGCATGCGATTAATGGCAAGCTCGTGCAAGGCAGAGTGGATTGGGCGCATCGCGGGATGAATGCTTGGGGAGAGGGCCCAATGCGCCGGAAGCAAGCCAATGGTACAAAGCTGATGTTGTGCTAGCATGTGTATGAGAACAAGAATGTTGTTATTGTTAAAGACCAATTTAGAACTTTTTGAGGTAAAGTTCAGATCTTTTGAGGTAAAGTTCAGAAAAGAGAAAATCAACAAACAGGATCATCAATTTTGGTGTGTCGGAGCAACGGAGACAAAGCAGTGGATCAAAGAACCTGGAGACAGCAAGTTGGTCATAAGATGTGGAATTTCACTGTCAGACGGGCTCGGGAGATGTTGCAAATTGGAGCGCGCCTGAGTACTCAGAGAAGATGCGCGAGCGGAGGGTGCTCGATGCTCGAGCACGGGCGTGCTACGCAGGAACAAGTGCCTGGACCAAAAGCGCACATGATATGTTAATGCACAAGACACGGAAGTGTGGATACGAGAGGAACAACAACAGGTGTATGCGCACATGGTTTAGAATGCATGGGTGCGCGAGATGGAGATGTGGATCAGAACGCACAGTGGAGGTTTGACATGGAGGCCGGACGCAAGTGAGATTGGGCTTGGCTCGGCTCGGCGGATTTGCTCGTGGAGTTAGTGTCATACAGATTGCATCAAGTCCAAGTTCTTGTGAACAAGTGACTCTTTGATCTTTAATTACAAAATCTAAATCAATGTGGAGATTGTTAGGTTTTGATCTAGTTTTAGATTAGTTGTTCCGTAAAGACATCTCACCAATGTAAATCCCTATATATAAATGTTATAGGTTCATGTATTGGGGAACCTCATTGATGGAATTAATTCAATGAAGCTCCATTCATGTATCTATTATTTCCTCTCTCCCTTCCGTGCCTCTTTCTCTTATCCAAGGATCCTCTCACTCTTTCTAGAACAGTTAACATCATCCAAGAATTTTTTTTTCCTTGTAAATTCTGAGTGATTTTTAGTTTGAAAGAATTTTATCTTCTAAATTAGTGTAATATAGTTATTTATATGTTATTTATTTAAAAATCAAGTTAAAACATTTTAAATTTATTCTAAATATTTTATTAAGACATTGTGACATAAATATTTTGAAGGGGAAGAAGTCATGTGTTTCTTTACTTTTTTGACACATTTGAACTGTTTGATTATTTGTAGAGCTAACAAACAGTTGAGAGTAATTAATAAAATGATAACACAAATAGCTCACGTTATTCATGAGTGTCCCGTCACCTTTTACACCTGCTTAATTAAATAATATTTATTTTAAAGATACGTTTAACCATTTTTGTGGGACCCACCCAAAATTTGTATCAGGGCCAATTCATTAATTTTAATGTATAATGTTTATTTAAATATTAGAATGTATTATAAATGTTTTACATTTTTATATAAAAATAAGATTTTTTTAATTTAAAAAAAATTAAAGCCATTACTTTTTTTTATAAAATTTAAATGTCTATATTTATTTTATAAAAAATGTTATTGCTTTGAATTAATATGTTACTTCTTTATTTTTTGTATGCTCAATTAGTCAATTAGAAAAAAAATTGAGAAAAAATATGTCATGATATGTTGATAAATATTAAATTAAGATGCGCTTAAGGCTTCTTTTGAATGGAAGTTTTTTGTGCTTATTCTATTTTGAAACGACAAATTCATTTCTTCTTTACTGTTTGGTTCGTCAAATCAAGTTCCCAATAACTCCATTTGTTTCATTTTTCTGCTGTTTTGAGAAAGCTTTTTATATATGCTTCTCTGGTAGAAAACTTCATTTTCTGAACCAATGTTTCTTAAAACTATTTTTTGCATACAAAAGTGCAAAAAACATTCCTTTGTGGATTTTAACCAAAAAAAAAAAACACATAAAAGCCATTCGAATTCCTTTGAGATTATCATTATATTCAAAGAGTTTGCATTCTACTACTCTTAAAATAAATAGTACAACTTTGAGGCTTCATTTGAGTCATTTTCGTACTTTTTTTAAAGTAAATTTTTAATATAAAAATTTTAAATTTTAAATTAAAATTTTTTTTAAGAAGCAATAAAAAAATCGTACTAAAAAAAGTTTAAAACTCATTATAATGTAATTTATTAAAATATTTTGGCATAATTTTAAACATAAAGAGTGATTGATGCATAAATCTACAAGAAAAATGCGCCCCACCAATCAATGTACGACTACTCAATCATAATCATCCAAATATGAAGAAATTTGAGTCTTATTTAATTATAGAGATGATCACTATCATCATAATTATAAACTAATGGTTCCAAAAAAAAAAATCAAATGATTTTTTAGAGTTAATTTTTAGTGAGAAGACACATCTTACTTTGTTATTTGAAAAAAAAAAATTATATGCTCCACAAGATTGTCATTTTTATCTTACATGGATTAATTATTTAGATTATTATAAAGTACCATTTATTTTAACTTAAGATATTGGAGAATGCACATAAAAAATATAATATAAATTTGCATTCTTTATTAAAAATCAAGTCAAAATATTATTTTCAAATTTTTTATTTTCATTTTTGTTAATGCTCAATAAGAAAACCTTTAAAAAAATCGATAAAATTCCTTCCAAAATGATACTTAGACATTTTCTTAAAATCAAAATTATTTTTATAAAATCAATTTGTTCTATAAATACTTATTTACTATTATCATCATTTGAAATTAAAAAATTAAGTTCTATTTAAATTTAAAAAAAGATCTAAAAATAAATAATAATATCTAATAAAATGTAAAAACTCGTTATTAGACATATATAAATTCTAGGGGGATTTACATACATATCATTTTATTTTATACTATTTACATATCTAATACTAAAAATTTTAATATTACATTCCTATCCCTCATAAATTTTTAATATCAAATATATCACTCTTATATCTCATTATTATAACTCATAGTATCATATAAATTTTGATATTTCATTTCATGCATCTATTTTTGTTCTATAGATGGTAGATATGTAATATTAAAATTTTAGGAATTAGATATATAAATCCCCCTATATTCTAATGTAAAAAAGGGAAAAAAAAATATTACACAAGATATTATTTTGAGATCTTTGATAAACTAATAAAAAATTCCTTATATTTTTTAGTCCAATTTACTCCGAAGGAGAGTAGATCCAAGCAAAAAAACCACAATAAAGATTCTAACACAACATGTGAGCAGACAGATGGCTCCATTGTGGTCACATATTGCTTTTAAATATCAGCCAGTCCTTCCATCCCTTCATCTCCCCCATCTTGTTATCATCCTTTCACTCTCCAGAAGAACATTTTTTCCTTCTTTCTTTCCTTCCCCTTCCTGACATGCTTCCAAGAACCAGCAGTATCTTCCACTTTGAGGAGGAGGAGGAGGAAGGAGAAGGGGAAAGGGGAAATGAGCTCATTAATGGAGGAATTCTCTCGAGAAAAACAGCTGGAAAAGACCTCGTTGGCCTTCAGATCCTCATATCAGAACCTGACCAGGAAGCTAATAATAATGTTGTGATCAAGTCATCCAAGAAGAAGATCTGCAAGAAACCAGAGATTGTTTCTGTAGATTTCCTCAAGTTCTGCTTCATGTGCAGTAAGGAGCTAAGCCTTCAAAAAGAGGTTTACATGTATAGGTATGGTTCGTAAGTATAAAAGCTCTGTTTGGTTTCAAGGAATTGAAAGAGATGAAATGGAAGGAAGATATCGATGGTGAAAAAACTGAAATGAAAGCAGTCTGCTTAAGAAGAAATTGAGTGTTTTTTGTTTCTTTTGAGGAGAAGATTTAGGAGTAGTCACAATTATAATTTCATAATCTTTTCATCTCAGGATTGTGAAGGAAATTGTTCATAGAAAAATATTTTATTATTATTTTTTATAATATAAGTTATCTATTAATTTTATTTTATTTTTTCTTTATCAACTATATATATAACATTTAAGTCTTAGATACTAATAAAATTAACATTTAAAGGCTTCTATTTATAATTCTGCTGGTTAAATTTTGACGAGAAAAATCAAAATTTCAACTTTTTTGTAATTATCTGTTAAATTCTTTATGAATTAAGTATATAACCTTCAAATACTTAAATTTGACATTTTAAAAATTAAGAAAAATATATATAATCGTACGCATATAAATATCTTTTTTTTAGTCTTTAACATAAGGGGTTTTCATGTTATAACCTTTCTTGCAAGCAACTGAGTGCCTGCTTAGCGTAAAATTTTTAGTTTGCTTTTCAGATCGAAATCACACTTCTGCTCAGCTAATATTTTTTTGATATTTTCTAGATTTTTTTTAGAAAATTATTTTTTATAACTAAGACTTCATTTGGGACAGCTTTCATACTGCTTTCTAAAACAATTTTTAGTAATTATTTTATTAACTATAATTTTTTTACTAAAAAGCCGCTTTTGAAAGCATAAGAAAGTTATTCCAAATGAAGCTTAAGGACTGCTTTCTTATTGCTTCATAAATCAACTTTTATAGTATAAAATTTTAAATTTTTATAAAAAAAAATTGTTTTAAAAAGTAGCAAAAAAATCATCTCAAACGAAGTCGGGCAACTTTCTTAATGCTTTATTAAAAAACCTTTTAATTAAATTTTTTTTAATAAAAATTTATTTTAGAAAGAATAAAAAAATGTCTCAAATTAAGGCTTCGTTTGGGGCGGCTTTCTTACTGCTTCTTAAAGCAGCTTTTTAGTAAAAAAAATTAATTTTTATACTAGAAAATATTTTTCAGTAGCAGTAAGGGAAGTCATCCCAAACGAAGCAGTAAGGAAGTCATCCCAAACGAAGCCTAAGTCTAAGATTTCGTTTGGGATGATTTTCTTATTGCTTCTCAAAGTAGTTTTTTAATACAAAATTTTAAATTTTGGTATTAAAAAATTGCATTAAGAAGCAATAATAAAGCCATCCAAAACGAAGCCTAAATTTCCAAATGTGTAGGGGCAATAAGAAAGTTGCTTTAGATTTTATTTGAGACCGATTTGTTTTTATTTTTAAATATTTTTATTATTATTATTTATATCTAAATAATTTTAATTTTAACTCAGGGGTGATCAAGGATTTTGCAGCCTGGAATGCCGGAGCAAGCAAATTTTGCAAGATGAGAGAAGAGAATTCAATGCTCCAACAAGACAGCGCTTCAGGATGCCTAATCGTCATCATATGGGATCCAAAATTCAGGAATCTAATGGGAGGGCGAAGATCACTGTTTCTGCTTGAATTAACCTCATAGGTTTTTTTTTGGGAAGCCTCTGGAAAATATAATGTAACTTGAGCTTTTACTTAAACACAACTCTCCTTGGCCTATTGGTTGAGAGCTTAGGCTTTCAATTAAGAGGTCTACGGTTCGAGTCTTTGTGTATGCGTTGTGTGTGTGAGTTTGTCTTAAATGACCTAAATGTCAAAAAAAAAAAAAAAAAGCTTTTACTGAAGACTGGAAATGCTACTGTGCATATGAAGTATTATGTCTGCTTAGCATGTTGAAAATTTAATTTATGGCTTTATTTGGAAATGTTTTTTTTTTTTCTGCTTTGTAAAGTTGTCAAAGAAAAAGTAATTTCTTAAAGCTATCGTAGAAAGTAACGTCATGAGCTCGAGCGTGCGTCTTATTGGTAGACGCGAAGCAATTCCTCCCGGTGGCTCACGTTCGAAGCCCCTAACATTAAAAAAAAAAAAAACTTTGTAGTAAAAAGATTTAAGAAAGCAATAAAAATAATAGTTAAAAATAAATTGTGATTGCAATCGAAAAAGTAAAATAGTAAAAAAGTTATCTCAAATGAAGATTTCGTTTGGGATAATTTTCTTGCTATTTTTTAATGCAGCTTTTTAGAGTTGGAAATTTTTATACTAAAAATTATTTCAGAAATCAGCAAGAAAGTTATCACAAATGGAGCAGAAGTTTCTTAAAAATATATGTTTGGAAAAAAAAAATTAGCACTATACAGTTTGTTTTTTGTAATAAAAGCAAAAAAATTCAGGAGTTTCACTTCCAACTTGATGTGGAACCGGTGAGGAAACCTTCGATCAACCTGCAACTGAAGACCACAAACACAAAGCAATGGCAATGGAACAGTAACTGATATTGATAATCGGAAAAAACTAGCTATCTTCCTCCTTACATCAGCTTAATATGCTATCACCTAAATTAAAAAGAGGGTAGTACTGTAATTAACTAGTAAAGTAATAATTAAAAAGCAAGCATAAAGCCTCAGGTAAAAAGCTGCTGGAACGACTCAGCCAGTGGACACGTTAGCAGACCGTTAGAGGCGTTCTGGTATACCACTCCCTTGCCTGGTAAATGACACCACATCAGGTGCCACCGGCTGCAGAAAATTCAGGTTCTACCTGAATGTGAGGTTCACCGGAATCATCCCGGGGATGGTAGGGGAAAATATCAGCAACATTAAAGGTCTTGGACGTGCGCATGGTCTCTGGTAAGTCAACGACATAAGCATTGTCGTTAATACGTCGAAGGATGGGTACTGGGCCGAACTTGCGTGGGCTTAATTTGGAGTGAGTTCCCACAGGAAATCGTTCTTTACTGAGCCAGATGAGCACCAGATCTCCCGGTTGAAAAGATACATGCCTTCGATGAGTATCAGCAGCCTTCTTATACGTAGAATTGGAAGAAACAAGTTTTAGGCGCACGTCTTCGAGGATCGACTGGTAGTGATTGGTCAATGCAACAGCAGATTTGTTGGCACATTTCGGTAGAATGGCTATGTCAAACAAGTGATTGGGGGCCTTTGTATAAACAATTGCAAACGGGCTCTGTCCTGTTGATCGATTTGGCATAGAGTTAAACGCAAACTCAGCTTGGCTGAGAGTGTTCTCCCACTGCTTTGGCTTATTCTGTACTAAACATCGTAGCATGTTACCAAGTGTACGATTAATGACTTCAGTCTGTCCATCAGACTGGGGGTGATAAGCAGAGCTAAGGTTTAGCGACGTGTGGAGACGCTTCCATAACTCACGCCAGAAATGGCTCACAAATTTGACGTCTCGATCCGACGTAATACTTCTTGGTAGGCCGTGTAAGCGTACAATTTCGTTAAAAAACAAGCGCGCTACATTGACAGCGTCAAGAGTCTTTTTGCAGGCCACAAAATGAGCCATTTTTGAAAAACGATCAACAACAACCATAATAGAGTCAGCTCCTCGTTGTGTCCTTGGCAGGCCCAATACAAAATCGATGCTAATGTCCTCCCAAATCGAATCAGGAACTGGTAGAGGGGTATATAGACCTGTATTTTTCTTTGTGCCTTTGAATTCCTGGCAGATAGCGCACCGTTCAATGAACCGGGAGACATCACGGTGAAGTTTTGGCCAAAAAAACCTGGCCTTGAGCTGTTGCACCATTTTTTCTCGGCCTAGATGAGCTGCCAATCCCCCAGCGTGGGCTTCTTTCACCAACTGTTGCCTATATGAAGAATCAGGTATACATAGAACATTACCTTTAAATAAATACCCGTGCCTGAGAGAGTATTCTGAAACCAGCTGCATTGCAAGGCACTGCTTCCATATGAAGGAGAAATCAGGATCTTCGGCGTAAAGTTCTTTGAGACATTCAAGACCGGTGAGTTCCGTCTGGAGCTGTGTTACCAAAGCAGTTCGTCTACTAAGTGCATCAGCTACTCTATTTTGATTACCAGACTTGTGCTTCAGGACGAACGTGAACTTCTGAAGGAAGAGGATCCACCGTGCATGCATTCTGTTGATTGTTTTTTGGCTGTTAAGATATTGTAGTGCCTTGTGATCACTACTCAATATAAAGTCTTGGTGCAGGAGGTAATGCTCCCAATGCTTGAGAGCTCGCACCACCGCATAGAGCTCTTGCTCGTAGACAGTCCACTTCTGCCTGGCGGTGCTTAGTTTTTCGCTAAAGAATTCTACGGGCCGCTCGGATTGAGACAAAACTGCTCCTATGCCGACGGTAGAGGCATCCGTGTCAACTTGAAAAGGCAGCTCAAAGTTGGGTAACGTAAAAACAAGGGCGGCACATAGCGATTGTTTCATTGTATCCCAACTTCTTTGGCGTTCTTCATTCCAAGAGAATTTCTTGGCCTTTAAGCAGTCGGTGATAGGCGCCATGATGATACTAAATCCGCGGATGAATCGTCTATAGAAGTTAGCAAGACCGTGGAAACTTCGGACATCAAATAGGCTGCGGGGAACTGGCCAGTCTCGGATAGCCGCAATCTTGTTGGGATCGGTCGCCACTCCAGCTGCAGAGATAACAAATCCCAGGAAATAGACTTTCTCCATTCCAAATTCGCATTTGGACGGGTTCAAATAAAGCTGATGAATTTTCAGTGTCTATAACACCTTTGTGAGGAGTTGAAGATGCTCTTCGAACGATGGGCTGTAGATCAAAATATCATCGAAATAAACAACACAAAAGCGGTTAAGATGTTCCTTAAGTACCTCGTTCATTAATCGCATGAATGTGGCCGGTGCATTGCACAACCCAAATGGCATGACTCGCCATTCGAACAAGCCCTGTTTCGCCTTGAATGCCGTCTTCCATTCATCCCCTGGACGAATACGTATTTGATGGTATCCACTGCGGAGGTTGAGCTTAGAGAAAAACTTAGATCCCGCTAGCTTATCCAGCATTTCCTTAATGCGGGGTACAGGGAAGCGAAATTTGGTAGTGATTTTGTTGATAGCCCTGCTATCTATACACATTCGCCATTTATTATCCTTTTTCGGAACGAGTAGTGCCGGCACAGCGCAGGGGCTGAGACTGGGCTGAATGAACTTTTGCTTTAATAAGTTGTCGACCATTTCCTGCAGAATTTCGTGTTCTTTAGGACTCATCCTATAGTGCGGGAGATTTGGTAAATTAGCACCGGGCGCCAAGTCAATTTGGTGCTGGATCATGCGTATAGGCGGTAGTTCGGAAGGTAAGTCCGAGGGCATAAGATCACGAAATTCCTGCAGCAGTTTGAGAATTTCGGGTGACTGCACCATAGGCGGCACGTCTGGAGGACTGTCGATCGTCACCAATGCATAAATGCACACAGGCTGATCCGACATAAAAACAGGCCCCGATACAATGTTAAGAACAGCCTTGTTATTTCCAGTGCTGTCAACGGGAGTATTAACGTGTGGTAACAGACGCAATTTCCTACCTTTCCATTCAAACGAATAGGTATTATGCCGACAGTCATATACAGCACCGTTATCATATTGCCAGGGACGGCCCAAAATAATATGACAAACGACCATATCAATAACATCACAGAGAACCTCGCAGGTATAATTCCTGCCAATAGAAAAATTAACCCGGCACATGTCCACAACTGAGATTTCTACTCCCTTTTTAACCCAACTAATTTTATAAGGTTGAGGATTTTTTGTAGTTTTGAGCTGGAGGGCCTGTACCAAGGAGCGAGAAACTACATTTTCAGTGCACCCATTATCAATCAGAAGGTCACAAACTCGTTCACCAATGGTACATCTAGTCCGGAAAATGGCATTTCGCTGAGACGACTGTGGACCTCCGAAAGAGCATCGCTCGTGGGGTACGAACGCAGAGGGTACGACCGCACTATCTAGTATGACAAAACCATCGTAGGCCTCTACACTCGACACGAATGGGTCGATGGAAGGGCAAATTGGATCGTGCATACGACTAACCATTGGGGATAGAGGCTTTCACCAACACATCCTCGATGGGTAGCAATATACACGACCTAGTCACGGGTTTCCCCCACCCGAAAAAAGTTCGAATGGGGTTTAGTAGATTGTGGGAACCAAGTTTCCCACGGGAGCAAGCCCCCGTGGTTAATTACATCCCAGGCCGGAGCCCGAGAAAACTCTCGATTAAGGATTATGCATTATCTCTTCCTAAAGCGGGATCAACATGAAGGGGTAGACTAGGAAATCCTACTAAAAAAGGGAGAGAAGGTCCCAAAGGGCTGAATCAGACATGCGTGGCTCATACCAGCATTCGGAGGCTCTAGGGTACTAAATAAAAACTGGAGAAAATAAATCAATCACTCGATCACATGCGTGAGAGAAGAGATGGAGGTGGCGTCATCCTGTGACGCAAATAAGTAGGATTTAGAGTCCCTGAAAAGAATGAACCTACCTACTATTTTAGGCATACTACGAGACCGAGTGTAGTAGCCTCGAACCCTAAATCTAGATTGGACTTAGTGTTCGACACACACTAAGACCAGTGTCCTAGCTAATGCGATGCAAAGAACCTGGACTTACCCCGGCCTGGATGGGGGAGCCAGCTAACCACCTAATCGATTTAAAACCATGCTATCAAGTCAATTATGAAAGATGGGTGGGTGGTATAGTTTTTAGAAACAGGACCGACATCTAGAAATTTTCCTAAGTGGTCCTGGACTTATGTAGGTTAGATGCTCCTTGCTAATGCAATTAAATTTTAATTAGTTGGTTACTAATGCAATGCATGCTAGTTAAAATGTCAGCTCATGAATGCTATAGAATTTAAAAAAAAAACAGGCTTATAAAAATAATTTTTTTGAAAAGACTGGGTCTCCCTAGGTCCGGCACTTCATCCTCATAGGCCAGATTATCCGGACTCAACCCGCAGGCAGGGAGATGTCTTATAGCAAGGAAAGAAAAATGCAGTAATATGCATGCGACCCCGAACG